AAAAAAATAACTGTAGTAAGAAAAACAAATGAAAAATGCGAACTAATGTAACGTCGTATGGTGAGTTTTTGTTCGTATCGTGGAGCAAAAATATGTTCGAATTTCATGTCGTATCCTGAAAATTTCGTATGCTGGGGCGTTCGTAACCTGAGGTACCACTGTAGTTTTAAAATCAATTTTCATTTCATGCCAACATAGGCTGTTCTAGTGAAACCGAATAAATTAAATATTTAAAATAATTTACGTAGACTACAGTATTTAATTCTTAAGAAAGTAAAAATGTGTCTAATTTTTTCCAGTGACATTATGAACAGGACAATAACAAGTTAATCTTCATTACTTTCGCTATCCCAAAGTGAAGTTCGTTGTATATTAAAAAATATGATTGACGTAGTTCAAACTATTTTTTAATATTTAAAAGATGAAAACTTAAAAAACTACAAAAGAGGAGTGTTGCCATCTTTTTAAAATTGCTGACCCAGACATTTGTATGTGAAAAATGTTATAAAGTGGGTTGCATGTAATTAATTAACAGTGAGTTTTTCTTACATAACACTTAATATAACTTCCGAAATTAAGTAAAAAATAATTGAACATTGTTGTGTTTTTTATCAGCCAACACAGATTTGTTTGTCTTCATTTTAAATTTATTTTATACATTTCCAAACGTTTTTATTCTCTTTTTCTGCTGAAGTAGTATGTAAATGAATAAATATTTAAATACAATAGAAACGTATAAAGACAGAAACAATATACGTTATTTCGGTGAAACGTAAATATAATTAGACATAATTTGAAGAACATAAATATATAAATAGAAAATATAGTAAAGAAAAATATGTTTTATCGAAATTTTAATTTCACTTTTATATTTAAACAATAAATGTAGCATATTTCTAATAAATTGATGACTTGAATAAAATGACTGAATTGAACACAAATTTATTTATATTTTCTATTAATTTTAGTTTTCAAAATAAAGATATTTACAGGACTTATTTACTAATTCGATTTTCTGCCTGCAAAATATCAAAAATATTTTTATAATAAACGAAAAAAAATGTGCAAGATTTAAATCTTCTAGTAGTATCATTACCAAATTGTATGTTTTGCAAATTAATATTCAGAAGTGATTAATCAAATTAATGAAATTTTGCATCGTGTTCTCTACGAGATACTTCGTCGTCAAATTTCTCTTGACAGATGTGACATTCTAGTTCGACTTCTTCAACTATCACTTCTGAAAATATTTCCAATTCTGGTAAATGTTCCAGTTCGTTCATGTTTAAATATTCGTCTCTGTTCTTAATTCCACTATTTTCTGAATCGATGCTAAGCATTTCTACAACAGATTCTTCATATTCTACTGATTGAGATTTTTGACCACTCGTTGATGGTTTTTCCATTGATTCTTTCTGATCCTTGTCTACCTTGTGATATTCTTCATCTTCAATATATTCAACGCTTGCCTAAGAATTCAAAAATGTATATAATATAATTTAATTCAGTAAATTAAACTAAAATGACTATCACTATTAATTCAAATCATAATTAAAGTCAACTGCATCATTCAAAAAATTAAGTTTCTGAAGGAATGGCATTTATAATTTATTTTTTTAGTATACTATTGTAATTAATGAATGTCAGTACTTTTACATAGTAAAGTATTCTAATTTTCCGTATGATGGAATATAGTTTAACACGATAATCTTTATATATTAGAATGAATTCACTCTCAGGTGCATAGGGAACAATAGTTGCCCGTGCCGGAAAATAATGTCTACGTTCCTTGAAGTGTTTAAGATTGCATTAACAAATTTTAAAGTTTTACGAAATTTATTCTTACAGGAACAGAGCGCAAAGTTCGCTGGGGAACAATAGTCATCACGCGACTAATCGAGGCAGTTAGTGGCATACTGAATTTGCATTTGCTCAGTACAATTTTTACTGTTATGTGAGGTCATATACGTTGGTGTTGACTCATGTATTTGTATTGTTTCTTTATTTTTCTACATCGATCGTTTTATACAGATTGCTGAATATTTTGTTGCATTTAGTATTTTTATTTTACTTTTATCTAAATGCAAGAAAACAGAATCGGAGCTGAGATTTTACTATCCCTGTACTATCCATTTTCCGCTAATTGCTTTACAATGGTAGGGGACGGTTTTTTCGAAATACAGTGGAACCTCGGTATACGACCTTAATCCGTTCCTGATGTTTGGACTTATACCGAATTGGATGTATACCAAATCAATCTTTCCCATAAGAAGTAATGTAAAAATGACTAATCCGTTCTCATGTAAAAAAAATGGCTGGCTTTAAACACCTCGCTTTCATGGCTAGTTTCTGCTTTCTTTAATTACGATTCTTTAATTAAGATTTCTGTAAATTACTACTTCTTGTTTCCGTTTATAAAATATATAAAAATGATATATTTTGAGTAACTGTTTTATGAAACACAATATATTACTTACCTAAAATCACAAAACCCGCAATAAAAGAATCGTTTTTCAAAATTTATCTATGAATACAGAGAACGACTGTTCCCAGCGTGCCAAACATTATAATAGATTGCTATCGCGTCTAAATATGGGTTTTAAAAGAAAGTTAACAAAGGCTCTGATTATAGAAAAATTACAGATATATTACTTTATATATGAATAATAAAGCATGCCGAAATTTGTAAACCTTTGATAGTGTGCAAAAAATTTATAATGTTTATTTATTATACTTAAATTTCATTTTTCAAAATATCTAATTTGTAAGATAACAGGCGCAATTATAATCTTTGCATAGGATGCAAAATCAGCTGACACAGGACTGCCCATTTATTATTTTTCATTAGTTTTTATTCAAGTTATTATATTTATTTATTGGTTTTCGTTATTCTAGTTTTACCTTACATTATTAGTTACCATTAGTTATACTATAGGTAATTATTTCTTAAGCTTTTTGTGTTCAATTCCGAAGAATCAAGAAGGAAAGAAATAAGAAATCAAGTAATAAAGTTCAAAAAGTTCATTAATTAATTAAAAATAATTAAATTTCTGATGAAAAACTTAAGTAAAAGAAAAATAATTTTGAAACAATTATTATGATTAAAATCATTCCAAATAATTTACGATGGTAGATTTCCCTTAATAGTAATTTTACTAGTGGTATAGTTCATTAAAGTTCACAGGGAAAAAGTTTAATCGTTTCGATTTTACCGAAAATTTTCCTTGCTGTTTAAAGAACAAATATAGATAATGACAACAGTAAATAAAAATAGTCAGATGTACCATAAATCATTTCGAATCTTAAAATATACTGTACCTTAAATCGTATTACAGTAGAGCCTCGATTATCCGACTCAATTGGGGACTGGGGTTGGTCGGATAATTGATAAGTCGGATAACCGAAAAGTATGAAAAAATCCATAATTAGTGTAGTATATTATTATATCCCATGTAATTAGTATATTAGTATATCGCTATTAACCTACTTCGCGTTGAATTTTCATCGATGTCGAGTCTAACAAAAATTTTTTAAAATAATAACCGTCGCTATTATATCGTTAAAAATTAGAAAATTAAGCCTCGTTTAAATACTGGCTCCCTTTCATGGTCGTTCCAATGTTGCCAGCTAAAACACGTAAAAATAATATTATAGTAGCCAAGACATAGCCAAATATTGTAGCGCCACATCACTAGCGGAAATTTGAAATTTGCCAACTAGGACGGTCGGTTGACCGAGGTGTCGGTTAATCGGGGGTCGGATAATCGAGTCTCTACTGTATTTTGAAATTACCGTATATAGAGGTATAGAAAGACAGATGCAGATTATCAAATGACTGAATGTACAAACTTCAGATTATCAGTTTTTATTTTGCGTTAATACTTTACGTAAACAATGCTGTATTATTTATTAAATAAATAAAGATTACAGAATAAAATTACTTACAGTAATCACGTAATAAAGTCACCTAAAAATCTGATAAGGAGTTATAAAAATCTTTTACAAGCTAATTAACTTTCCTTACATTATAATATTCAAGTAAATTTTAAATAATTAATTTCAAAAAATTTCTTTATGTACCTTGGAAGAAGATGCTGTTTGTTCCTGTGGATGTACTATTTTCATGTGTGCTTTTAAGTGAAATTTATGTTTGTACCTTTTCTTACAAATATCACATGAAAACGGTCGACTTTTCTCATGAGATAGTAGATGTTTTGTTAAAGTGGATAACCATGGAAAACTTTTACCACATTTATCACATTTGTGATTTTCTTTCGAGTTTTTTGGGGGAATCTAAGTATTAAATGAGTTATTAATTAGTAATTGCTATTTATTACATTCTAAAAAAAATTTAAATATTAATATATTTCGTAAATTCGTTATATTTTGTATGCATTATAATGGCTTATTGTTGAAGAAATTATTTCGTAATTAATATTTACGATTTTTACGGTAGAGATTTAACAAGTATATTTTTTAATGATTCACTGTAAATTATCAATTTTATTTATAATAATTAAGCCAGTTATATAGTCCATCATAATGTTATATTTTTTATCAAATTTATTAACTTATAATATATTATATTTCATAAAATATATATGGACTTAAATGCAAAAATAAACATAAACATAATTCTTACAGTAATAATATCAGAAACGATTGCATGTGGATGTAATCGTTTGACATGTGATAACAGATCAAATTTTTTTTTTGTAGCATATCCACAGTTGCATTTGAAAGGTCGTTCTTCCGAATGTATTGTTTTGTGAATTGTTAAATTTCCAGACTGGGAGAATTTTTAACATCAAATATCGCATGGAAACGGTTTCTCACCAGTATGGCTTCTCAGGTGCACATCTAATTGCGATTTCCTTGAAAATATTTGTTTACATTCCGTGAATTCATGTTTCTGTTTCTCATCCTTTAAAAAAATATTCGTTGTGTAAAAGTATTTCAGATTATTAGGTTCGTCATTAATATTTTCAGAAATATTATCTCTTTATATCAAAATATAATAGTAAAATACAGTTTATGTATTTTTCGATAAAAATTAAAATTTTCCATTTTTTATTCTTCATAATTTCGAATGACAAGTGTCGTCTTATTAATTAAAAATAACGTGTAACAAAACACATTGAAAGTTTTACTTACCTTTGATTGCATTTAAAAAATAAGTAATTAAAATTTTAAATTCACCTTATAAATTTTGAAAAGATGAAAAACAAGAATGCACTACAACAATGTAAAATTTCGGAATTGTTTTGTCACATTGACGTATTGTGCTTATTTGTTAGCTTAAAAAGACAAAAATTCTGGCTGAAATTATTTCCTATTACTAAAAGAGAAACGGTGTGCTACTTAATTAAACACCAATACAGTAATAACTCGGTTTTAGGCGAAACCAACAAAAACCGTGACAAATTTTTTTATATCAATCAATCTAAATCCAATTAATTTATTCTAGATTAGGGGTGGCCAACACGAGGCCCGCGGAGCTAGGTCAAATGAACGTAAATGTTAACTTTATTGTACATATCACCAAAAGAACATTACGTCATGAGTTTATTCGTATCGTGTATTTTTAAATTATAGCTAAGAGAAATTTGAAATATCCTTCATTTTTGGAAAAATTCATAGATTTTTAGATATTTCAAATATCTTGCTATTTGACACTCAAGGTTACTTAATTAGTTTTTTGTCCGACGCTAGGTGTTGACAAAATTTAATATGAGACTTCAGCTTTAGCTATATATGTTCTGTGGTCTTTGGCGTTTTCGGAAAGCTCGCAATGCTATCGGGCTCATATTCATAACTACCTTCAGTCCAGCTTGACAAAGTTCCGTGTTATTCTGTAGTTTCGTTTTATTATCGCCAATGCATCTGGATAGATTTTGCGATCGACGTTAAAATACATATTTAACATATTTATAATTACAATTCAAACTACTTTAACCAAGTAGCCTGTCTACCATATCGATTTTATAAGTAAGTAAACCATGAAACGTTGAAGAAATTCCATCAAGTTGGTTTGGAAGAGTTCTATGAAACGTATTTGGACAAGGATAAATATCGTGCGTTTTACAAACATGCTCTGTCGATGGTTTCGCTATTTGGAAACACTTCTGTGTGTCAACAGCTTTTTAGTCCCATGAAGTACATCAAATCACAAGTGAGAACACGAATTACTGATGTTCATTTGGAAAACTATTTGCGTGTAGAGACAACATCAGTGGAGATCAATTTTGATGCACTTAGTTCTGTAAAACAAAGTCAGATGTCTCAAGATAAAAATTTTCTTTACGTACTTTGGAAGAAGATGCGGTTTTTTCCTGTGGATGTACTATTTTCATGTCTCTTTTTAACTCAAATTTATATTTGAACGTTTTCTTACAAATATCACATGAAAATGGTCGTTTTCTTTCAGGATATATCAGGTGTTATATAAAAGCAGACGAGGATTCAAAACTTTTACCGCAGGTATCACATTTATGGTCTCTTCGTTTCGATTTTAGTGGTTTCTATTTATTAGACATTGAAAAAGAAAATTAAAATATTAATATTTTAAAAATGAAATTAAATTTAAATATATCTTGTAAATTTTTCTATTTTGTACATATTACAGACGCTTATTGAAGAAATTTATTTGATAAATAATAAGAACGATTTTACTATAGAGATATAACAAACATATTTTTACTATTTCACTGTAAATTACCATTATTACTTTTAACGATTAATTAAATTTTGATAAATTAGTTTAATTTTATTACTTTATCTGAATATATATTAACTTTAATTTAATAAATATGATATATTCTGTTTCATAAATATTTATGGACTTAACCCCCTTTTGTCCATTTTTTAAAAAAATTTTTAATTAAACATAAAAAATACTTAAAACTGAAAAAAACGAAAGAAATGCGTTAATTTTGGTTAAAAAGCTTCATCATTTAAGTTCCTTTGTCTCCCTTTCTGTGAAATTTAACACCTATGAGTTATTGTTTACACATCTGGATGATCTTGACCACAGCTGGAGTCGGATTTCCTGGGGCATTCTGATAGACATCGCGGGAGGACGAAGGTTTAAAGTAGGGTGACTACAATTTCGCCGTATATTTTTAAATATTTTAAAAAAATTATAATTTTTATTGCGATTTTCGACCCCCCCTAATTAATTAAACATATATATAATAAAATCTAGTAATTAAAAATATTAAAAAACTATCGGATGTCGTTTTTGGCATCAGAAAGCAGCTTTAAATAACTTTGCCGAAGGAAAATAGGTGCACTACAACTTTAAAACGATTAATTAATTTTGATAAAAAAAAACTCTCATTAAAAAAACATTAAAAAGCAATAAAGCGTGAAGATCGCGTCATTATAGGTTGATTAAAATCTCGATAAAATTTTTTTTTGCGCTGGCAAAAAATTCTGGAAAAATTTGGGGACCTAAAAAACATTCCAAAAATTCCAAAAATTCAAAAAAAAAATTTTTTTTCAAGAGTGGCCTTAACGACCGTTTTTTACGTAACTCTATGAAACTTGCTCGAGACACCCTAGAGCGCGGTTAAATACAAAAATATACATGAGCATAATACTTACAATATCTTTAGAAGCATTCGCTTTTCGATGTAATCGTTTGACATGTCTCATTAAATTATCTTTGGATTTTGCAGCGTATATACAGTCTTTGTAGTTACATTTGAATGGTCTTTCTGTCGAATGTATTTTTATATGTTCACTTAAAGTTGATTTCTGGGCGAATTTTTTTCCGCAAATATCGCATGAAAGTGGTTTTTCACCAGTATGAACCCTCACGTGTTCTTCCAAATGCTTTTCTCTTTGAAATGTTTTTTTACATATAGTACATTCAAGTTTTCTATTTTCATTCTTCAAAAAAAAAAAAATTTGTTTAAAAAAAAAAAAAAAAAATTTGTTGTGTAAATCATTATATACAGTATTAATAATATTTTTATTAATGTTTATCAAAAATATTTTATTTTCGTATCTAAATATAATAGTATTTTTTCGATAATAATTAAAATTACACATTTTACGTATTTTACAATTTCGAATCACGGGAACAGTCGCCAAATATAAGCAATGTCTTACAAAATACATCGAATGTTTAACTTACATTTTCTGATTTCATTACCAGGATTAATAATCCAATTTTAAAATTTAGTTTATAAATTTTGAAGAAAGGAGAAATTAATAATGCACTACGACAATGTAAAATTTCGCAATTGTTCTGTCAAATTGACATACTGTGTCTATTTGTTAGCTTAAAAAGACAAAAAAACTGGCTTAAATTATTTCTTGGTATTTTTAAACTTAGCACAAAAAAGAAAATACATTCAGGGCTCTGTTCCGAATTAATTTCAAAAATTGTTTTTTAAATATTTTTAGAAATCTATTAAATAAAATAAATTTTAGTAAGTGTTGATGAAAAGCATTGAATGTGTTCTAAATTAAAGTGTTCTGTTGTAGTAACAACGTTGAGAGAATGTTTCAAAATTGAAGCCTGTTGACAACTTGCATTATAGTTGCTTTCTAAATGCACTTATTGAATAAAACATGAAAGGTTTTCTATTAAAACCTTTCATTTTTCATTTAATAGATGCATATAGAATTATTTTTTATTTATAGATGCATTTAGAAACTATTCAATTTGCTTATTTTCTAGAAAAACTAGAAAATAATCAAATTGAAATATAAATAAAGTTAGATAATTAGAAATATTTTTTTCATCTTTGGGAAAAGACTTTAGTGCTAATTTACCGTTTGCGAATTCCGACAGGAAAAACTATTAAATTTATTTATTTCAGAGCACATGATGGTACATGATACTTATTTTAAAAAATGTTATGCACTTTAACTGCATTAAGATCGTTTCCCGTGTTGAAATTGGTACTACTTTTAATGTTGAAAGTACTTTTAATAAGTACTTTAAATGGAATTTTCTGAATTAAACAATACAAATAATAATTGTGTTGAAACCAGTTTGATAATATAAAGCTCAGCAGAAACATTTAAACAATGAAAAGTTCTGAAAGTTATGGCATAAGAATTAAAATGCAAAGTTGAAAGATAGCTATATACCGACAGTTGAAACAGAGCAAAGGAAAGCTAATTGCCATTCTTGCACCCGGAGCGTATGCTTTCAAGGGTTCCACTAAGGGATATGTATGCGAGTAGATGATGGAACATTGTTCGCGTGTGAATGAGATAGTGCGGGTTGAAAGGCCAGTTGTATCTTTTAAGAATAGTAGCTATCCCTAATATAACTATTCCTAATATGATTGTACCTATTGCAACAAAAAAGTAAGGTAAGTAATGTTAAACAAACACCACTTCAGTTAGTTTTTCGTTGCAATAGGTACAATTCGATTGTGGTATTCTCTTGAATATTACAATCGCATTGTGGATTGTAGTTTTCAGTCTGTATTGAGCTTTAATCTGCGCACATTATACAGACTAAAGCTTAATTTTGGTCTCTAACTTCCTTCCTTTATACCGCTTAAAGATGTAACGTTTAACTAAATCAATGCAGTGCAACGAGTTTAACGCACAACGTAAAACGCGAAGTTTTTCCTGTGACGATGCTTATTTTTCCGATTTATTATGACAATAACTGTCTTGTCGAAGAATTCCAATAGTTGAAGTCTGTGTAATTGCACTTTATTTATAGAATGAGTTATTCTGTCAAATTCTATTCCAGTGTTTTTTGCTTACAGCATTTAAATGTTTTATTTAACTTGCTATTCTTGCTGAATTTTACATTTTTTATCTGGTTTTTTCAGTTTATATCACATTATATGCATTTTTCTGTTAAGCATAACTTCATAATAAAACAGACTTCATAATAATTCTACATTCATTTCACTATCATATGAGAGCCTGCAGATTTTTCAGATTTGCCATACAGAATAAGTATTAACATTTACTTCAGATTGGAAAACATGTAAGAAGAGAGAGACAAACAATTTTTGGTTTCTATACAGTGCAGACAAAAGATCTAGAAACGCTGATTGTCAAATTTATACGATTCCAATTATTTTTCCTAAATGTATCGAGAACAGCCGAGAAAGAAAATGGGACATTATTTTATAATTGAGTCCAAAACGATGCAACGATTTTATTCGAAATATTTTAAATTTCATTTATTAATAAATCGATACATTGGTCTTGGAGATATTAACGATCAAATTCGGTAGATTAACGTTACACGTGTAGTTGAGCTTCACTGTAGAGTGATACCAAGTTCTGTGATACTTTAATTTTATTTCGTTTACTTACATTGTTTCTTAATAAGTTACCATCTTAATAAGAAACTAATCATTGTGAGAAAATAAGCATAATTTTCGTTTCTTGTTATAGTTAAGTTGTTGTTACTTTAGTTTAGTTATTCTTAATGTTCAGTCGTTTCATTTCGCGTTATCTAATGACCTAATGTGAGTCCACGTTTCTTCACTTACACTACTGTTAAAATAAGTTATAAATCTGCTACATACATTGAATTCTGTAAACGTAAATTTATTCAATTAAAACTATTAATTAATTTCAAATAATAATTTTTAAATTTTGTTTCGTACCAAAAGTATCGTTCTGCAAATGTACAATACTGTACTTTTATAAAATAATTTCAACAATAAATTAATTTATACGAAAATTTTTCAATGTTATTTCATTTAACTGTGCTGTGACTATGTCTTTAAAAATCAAATTGCTACTTTACGTGATGTTTTTCAATTGTAATATTCGTCAGATATTCTACAAATTCAAAATTTCTCTTAAATCTTAATTTTTTAATAGATTATTTTGTATGCTTCTGAAGAAACAAATTTTTCAATTTGAATGAGGTGAAGAAAATTTTTTTTTTAAAATTAAATAATGTAAACTTCGTTATTCAATGTTCTTGAATTGTCTTGACGTTGATGGTTTATCCGAATCCGAAGTATTTTCTTCCTCTGTCTCTAGTCTCCTTCTCATTTGGACAGAAATTTCGGCAGCGCTTAATACATCTTGATTTGTTGTTGTTTGATGAGCGAAGGTTTGACTGGAAGTCTGTCAATTTGACTTCAGCTTTACTTCTTCCGAAGAACTAATGTTCTTCGATGCATATTCAGTATATTGCTAAAAAAAATAGAAATACCATTATTAATACAATTCCATTTATTTCGTTTTATATTAGTTTATACATTTTATCAAAAGCATAATAATAAAGAAAGTTAACCATTTCATGTAATAACGGATTAATAGTTGGTAGATTTATAATGAATATTGGAATATATAAGTAAATAATATCATGTTACTCTTAAGTGGTGCACAGTCCATGTAGTGGTGATGGAATTTATAATTTCGAAATATTTACAGTTTAAATAGCCAACATTTGTTTTATAGATCAGCGATGTTCAACCAGCTGCCCACTCGATGTTTTTTTGCGGTTTTTTTAAAACAATAATTATCTTGTATAGATTTTTATTACAATGAAATATCACATGTATAGTTTAAAAAATTAAAATGATGTATAACACCTTACACGTACAATCAGAAATTAAAACAGTATTTAACGTTTTTAACAAAGCTTCAAATGTATTACATATACTATATATGTATGTGCAGTACATACTTTATATATATGTATTTAATCATTATGTTTACAACAACAAATAACATATGAAAATGGTTGTTCTTTTCTGAGATGCCAGGTGCTTTGTTAAAGCTGATAAACATCGAAAACTTTTATTGCATTAATCAAATTTATGATCTTATTTCATCGATTTTCTTGGTGGAATCTAATATTAATATTTAATATTATATTAAATATTAATATTAGAAAAGAGGTAAATCTTGTAAATTAATTTTATATTGTATACATATTTGACTCAGAGTGAAAGAGAAGTTATTTGATAATTAGTATTTACGCTTTTTACGAACAAGAAATAATAAGTATATTTTTCACTGTAAATTACCAGTTTCATCTATAATAATTATATTTGTAGTTATGTGAGGCTCTAAACAGGTCCGAACCCTCACTAAAATTCGCGTTAAAATAATTGTTTTAGAGAAAAAAATATAGTAGTTAGAAATATACTTTTATTTTATGAAAACGCGACGCTAACTTTTAAACAGTAGAAGAATGTAAGTCCGTCGACCATATCCGGTTGGAGATCGAATTAAACTTCCATTTTTACCTCTCCCGCGCCCCGAAAGGTTTCGAATTGTCATCAGGTGACGAGGAGAGACCAATCGGGAAGGGGAATCTGAGAGAAAACGGATAAAACCCCAAAAATTCAAGGACGCGACGGCTTCTTCTTCCGAAAGTTCCGGGTGACGGATCTACTGTTGTGTGTGTGTCTCGCACTCATCTTCGTCTCCATCTCCCGACCTCGGATCGGCATCTTTCCGTCAACGGAAGTCGACTGCATCGTCCTGGATTCATGGAGACGTGATGGAATTGTTCATTTGCGAACAAGAGACACTGCTTCAAAATGAGACTATCTTGGAATTCGAGAGGAAGACCCAGTGGCCGCAGCCGACGTAGAACTTCCAAGATCACGAAAAGCTTGTAAGCTTCTTTCGTGTTTAATAAACGGTTGTGTTGTTTGTAAACGAAACATCTATCTCTGACTCAACTGCTTCCACTTGTCGTTGATTGTTACCGCTCGGTAATCCAAACGGCAAGGGAGACAATGACGATAAATATCACATATTATCGTTCATTGAAATTTTTTATTTTTCCCCCTCGGCCCCCACAGTTGCATTTAAATGCAACTACAAATTCAATTATTATAGATGAAGCTAGTCTTTGTAGTTGTATTTAAGTAGTCGTTTTTTTGGAACGTATTATTTAGTGTAAATATAATAGTAAAATATACAGTATCTTGTATTAGCATCCATTCATTCAATCGTCTGGTCTCCCGAAGTGTAAAAGTTTTCAATTTTTCACATCTAAAATTTCACTTTTGAGTAAGTTCTTAATACCATGTCAAGTCTCAATAAGAAATTAAACATAGTTCTCAATAAGTAATTAACAACAGTGAAACAAGAAGTATAACATTCGTTACTTATTTTAGTTATTATTCTTACTTTACTTTAGTTATTTTTATTTTGACTCGTTTCATTCGCACGTTATCTAATGACCTAATGTGAGTCCACATTCTTCACTTTACACAGAAATAAACTTCTACCTACTGTTAAAATAAGTTAGAAATCTGCGACACATTCAATTCTGTTAACGTAAATTTTTTCAATTACAGATATTAATTAATTTCAAATAATAACTTTTAAAATTCTGTTTCGTACCAAAAGTATCCTTTTGCAAATGTACAGTATTTTATGAAATAATTACTATAATAAATAAATTAATATGGAAAATTTTCAACATTTTTTCACTTAACTGTGCTGTAACTAATATTGTTTTACGTATGTTTAATTTTCATCTGTCGCAGACCAATATAGAAAAATGTTAATAATTTTTGACGACTGTTTGAACTTATATTGTTTCAAAGTTAAATGTCCAGAATTAAATAGATTAGTGGACTTGTTTCTCGTGTTTCTTTAAAGAAATTTCGTCAGAAAATTGTTGTTCACAAAGTTGACATTCGAATTTATCTTCATCTGTTTCTATATCTGAGAATAATTCCGGTTGTGAGGATGTTTCTAACTTCATAATTTCTAAATTGATGTTAAAATCTTTAAGAAATTCTTCAGCTTCTCCTGATGTGAAAATACTCTCTTCTGAAGCCAATTGTTCAGGTTCAATTAATCCTCTTGCTGCAGAACTTGTTGATGGTGTCTGAAAAAAATCTGATTGCATTTCTTGGCCATGTTCCGTGCTTTTCTAAAAGTAAATATAAATATAAAGAAGGAGTGCTATTCAGTAAATGCAATATAAAATATCATGTAAATTGATATAATTAAAACTTAATTTACATTACATTTAAACTTCTTTAATATTTAAAAATTTTTCTGATTATTTAACATTTTTTTTTTTGAGAAAGAAATTCTTATTCAGAAGAGATTGTCATTATTAAAAAACATAAAAAACATAAAAAGCATAAATTTCGAAATAATTATTACGAGTAAATTTATTTAAATTGTTTAAAAGTAGATTTCCTTCGAATACAAATACGACAAGACAATTTACTCTACAATAAAATTTTATCTTTTTGAGAGATCCGGAATTTTATTAACGAAAATGTCGCCATTTATTAACTAAAATTTTAATTAAACTTTCGTTTATGTAACGCCTTAGAAGAAAAAACGATCTTAGCTGGGGTTGTGTAAACTTTCGGGTCTTAACTAGCAACATCCATTGTTCTTTGCAGAACTGGCATATCGTCTTGCAAGAAGGTTTACAGTTAGCATTTAAATGTCGTCATTTGTTGTAGATCCCAGGAACACCTATAACCTTTAACTCATGAATATCCGATCACGTGATGGAAATTCCCCACAAAAACCTATAAAAGATCGTTCTTAACCCCTCTCAGGGGAGTCTACGAACGAACGCAGGATTAACGACATCGTGCCGATTTTCCGAACCCGCCGAATTCCGATCTCCGATGAACCTCGAATTAAATCAGCGCTTAAGTCACGATTATATGTAATTTGTGCCGGATTTGTGGATTATAACTATCAATTCCCTTGGATCGATATTTAAAGGCATCCACGTTCAGAATCCTCAAGGAACTTTCTATAGAGGTATGAAAGCACTGTGAAACTCTCTCTAGGACGGTATAGAAACGAGCTTTGTGTAGTCTTTTGTCATTTTGGTTATTTCCAATAATTTGTTATTTTTACTTGTTATAAATATGGTAGACTCCATTACTCGATCTCGCCCTTCACCTTATCGTCGACCCCAAGCAGCTCTCCCTTCACTCGCCTGACGTATCATCCTGACAAGTGAACGGGAGCCTTACGCCCCCGTATTCACATTTTCAATGTTCATGAAAACTTAATTTATAATCAAATCTTATTCGTATTTAACACGCAGATAATATTTGACTACTGATATTTACTGCTGTTCGAAATTTGTCATTGATTATAATATAGATTTTTGTTCTGTAATTTCTTATATGTTTTCATCAAAATGAAGACAGGTAAGCGGCATATGACCCGCAATGCATTTAATTATATAATGAATAAAAAATAAAATGTACTTTTTCATCGTACAAATTGTTTCTGTATGATAAGGTTTCTGTAGCAATTTTGTTCTTAATTGCAAATAACAAATAACAAACAAAGCAACAATAAGTAATCAAATGCTAAAGTTTAAAAAATTGCACTAATTAAACAGAAATTGTTTTTGTAAAAAACGTTTTGGAGAAAAATATATTTCGAAACAATTATTACGATTAAACTTATTACAAATAATTATAATAAGTAAATTTAAGCTGATGGCTGCTGATTATCGAATGATTGAAAGTACTAACTCACAATAATTACTTTTTGTTTTTTATTACTACTTTACTTTAAATGAACAATGCAGTGTTATTTTATGAATGAAGGATTACAGAATAAAATTCTTTACAGTAATAACGTAATATAATCACCTAAAAAAATCTGAGAAGCAATTTAAAAATTTTTTTACAAGCTGCATAACTTTTTCTGCATTATAATATTTAAGTAATCATTAAAAAGTTAATTTAAGAAAATTTCTTTACGTACTTTGGAAGAAGATGCGGTTTCTTCCTGTGAATGAATTATTTTCATGTGTCTTGTTAAATCAGATTTATATTTGTACGTTTTCTTACAAATATCACATAAAAACGGTCGGTTTTTTCCATGTGATATTAGATGTTTTGTTAAAGTGTATAACGATGGAAAACTTTTACCGCATTTATCACATTTGTGATTTTCTTTCGATTTTTTCCGGGGAATCTAAGTATCGAATGAATTATTAATTAATATTTGCTATTTATTACATACTTAAAAAATTCTAATATTAATATTTTAAAATTGAAGTTAATATTTAATATATTTCGTAAATTCGTTTTATTTTGTATTCATTATATACGCTTATTGTTGAAGTAGTTATCTCGTAACTAATATTTACGATTTTTAGGATAGAGGAATAAAAAATATATTTATTAATGTTTCACTATAAATTTTCAATTTTATTTATAATAATTAAACTAGTTATATAGTCCATCATGATGTTATATTTTATAACTAATATTTTACCATTTATTAGCTTTGTGTTTCTGATATTACAATTGTCTTTAACACAATACAATTTTTGGTAGCTAGTAACCTAAAAAGGTAGGTCTGTCGCCAGGATCGTATTGTCTGGCAAAATAAGCTAATAAATGGTGGTCCCGTTTGAGCGAACTTTGTCTCAAAATATTAATTATAAAAAAAAGAACCATCAAACGAAAGAATTAAAAGTTATATTTAATACTTTAAGTTAAATTTGATATATTATATTTCATAAAATATATATGGACTTAAATGCAAAAATAAACATAAACATAATTCTTACAATAATAATATCTGAAGCGATTGCATGTGGATGTAATCGTTTGACATGTGATAACAGATTAAATTTCGTTTTTGCAGCGTATCCACAGTTGCATTTGAAAGGTCGTTCTTCCGAATGTATTCTTTTGTGAATTGTTAAATTTCCATACTGGGAAAATTTTCTACCGCAAATATCGCATCGGAACGGTTTCTCACCAGTATGACTTCTCATATGCACATCTAAGTGCCATTTACTTTGAAATATTTGTTTACATTCAATGCATTCATGTTTCTTTTTTTCTTCCTTTAAAAATTATTTGTTGTGTAAATTACTACAAATTATTAGGTTCCACATTAATATTTTTAGAAATGTTTTCTCTATATATTAAAACTTGATTGTAAAATATATGTATTTTTTCCATAAAAATTAAAATTACAAATTTGTTATTTTTTACAATTTCGAATCACAAATGCCTGTTATAAAATAAAAATAAAGTGTAACAAAACAGATTGGACGTTTTACTTACCTTTCCTGATTGCATTTAAAAAGTAAGTAATTTAAATTTTAAATTTTCTTTAGAAATTTTGAAAACATGAAAAAGCAAGAATGCACCACAATAATGTAAAATCTCGGAATTGTTTTGTCACATTGACGTATTGTGCTTATTTGTTAGCTTAAAAAGACAATTTTCGGCTGAAATTATTTTTTTTATTATCATATTAAATTATTAACTTATTATTATAAACGATAAGGTACTTAAAGGCCAATATTTGTAATAACTGGATTTTAATGGATAATCTGTCCGAAAGGAATAGGCGAAAACCGAAACAAAGTTTTTGATATGAATCAATGTAAATCTATTTTGTTCATTGTAGACATAGCAATAACATATTTTATATAGAATAAATATAGGATTTAATACTAAAAACATTAAGAAAATAATATAGATGATGGCCTTTTCAAATATGATGACTTCCGAAATAGATTCGTCATTTGACTGTTTTTGATTGATCCAAAAGAGGAGAAGACTTTACTTTCAGGTGACAGCTTGCTAGGATGATTGCCTTCCATCAAGTACTTCATAACACATTTACATGTAAACTTTGTATTATTTCACTTACATCTATTTTATGTTTATAAAGTAAGTGTGTTAGAGTAGATATAATGGGCTTTATAATAGTTCATATTTTTTATTCACACCAAAAGACATTTGTGCTTATTGTGAAGTGCTAGAGATATGACTATTATTCTTAGTATAACTTTTAGCTTGCTCAAAAATTTTGATCAAGTTTTGTTCTTGCTCTAGTGCAGTGTTTTTCGACCTGTTAGTCGCGACCCACAGAGGGTACGCGAAGCCTTATACGGGAGGGTAGCGGGTAAAAGAAAAGGACAAGTGTTTGTAGGTCCTACACTACATTAAAAAACTACAATTTCAGCGAGAAGCCTTTTCCGCTATGATTTTCTGGGGTGGACCGTGCTCACCCCAGAAAATCATTGCCGAAAAAGTGTTGAGCTGATTTGCAAAAAGAAATAAAAAGTAGAAGCTGAAAATCCTGATCCTAAGAAAAAAAGGTCAGCGTCTCCCTGTGCCCAATGTTATAATTAAAGGAAGTTTCATACTTTATCTGTGTTTAGTTATTGTCGATTCTTATGAAATTTTCATTTTAATCAACAATAATTTTTTGTTTTTGTTTTTTTTTAAACTTTTTCTGTCCTGTGGGCACTAAGAGGGCCTCTTTTTGCAAGCCCATTATGGGTTCGGCCAGGTCCACAATGGAGCCGCTGGGTGGTGAGGGACAGGGCCCGACATATCCGAGCGGACCAACCCCCGAAAATTTTTTAAGAATTTTTGACCCGTTCGGAATCGAACCCGGGTTCCCCAGAGGGTAGGCTGCAACCTTAACCGCTCGGCCATTTGGCCGCTAATCAACAGTAATTTGTCTCAATAGAAAGAAAATTAAATACATAGTTTTTAAAATCACTGATATAGTTTTAATATGGCCCTGGGGGTCGCCAGAATTTTTTTAACTTGTAAAGGGGTCGCGTATTCAAGAAGGTTGAAAAACACTGCTCTAGTGTGTAGAAGAAGTTTAATGTATGAGCAAATGTTTTAAATTTTCGTCTGTTTGTACAGGTTAGTTACTTAGTTACTGTCTAGTACGAAAATTATTGTTGTTATTTTAAATATGTAAGAGATTACAAAGCGATTTTAATTGTTATATAAGATTTTACATTGTTTTAGTTTTGCAATATTTAATCTTGTCTGTGCTAGTGTAATTTTATGGGCGAATAATTTAATTTGAGTTGTCAAACATTGTTGTAAAAATAAATATAGTATATAACAGCCTTTTGTATTTTAAATTAGTTTTTTCAAAGTGGTTGTTATGGGCACTGTAGTATTTTCAACCGCTGATAAACTAAAATGAGCACTGTAGTATTTTCAACCCCTGATAAACCGCTGGTGTCCGGGATAAACTAAAATTAAATTGGGGTGCGTGGAGATTGGCAGGGGGTCGGCGAAATGTTTAATAAAAAATGAAAATTGGTTGAGCCTAATGAAATGATATTTTAAAATTTAGTTTGTTTCTTTATATAATTATAGAAGGAATAAGGAGACTAATTCTAGCACGACTTACGCTACATGCACCTGACAATAATTCTATTATTTGAGCTTATAATACTTCAATATCACTACTGCTAAGAAATACTTGACATTAGCTGTAATACTAACACTAACTTTATTACTATTATTTCTTCGTTTGCAACACCGATTTATTTCCGAACGTTCTATTTTAAATCTTTTTTAAGTGCTTCACGAACATCTTGTACGTAACGTAATCTACGTTTTAGATAATTTTGTATTTACGTTTGTATTAAGGAGTCACTAGGGTCAAATTTGGATCAGTAGACATGACTGTAAGAAGTCTGTTGTTTAAAATGACTTCACAACCACATATGACGGTTTACATAATCTAAGCAAACACTAGGCAAGAAAATTCAAGGTTCTTTCTTAAACCTTGATCCATGATATTCAGAAATTCTCTCTACAAAGGAGCAACTGAATTAATAATAAACTTTCAAATAATACTTTGTTTTTTACTTTGTCTAGAAACATGTTCAAAGTCAACTGATGAAAAAGAATGATAAATTACTACAAAACTTTTTCTATTGTCAATATATATTGTTGAAGGTTTTTTTGTCCAGTCAAAAAACATTGAAAAATCTGTGAAAATCTACCGTACACAATGATTTTATGAAATGCGTGGTATACAATGAATGTGAATGTGCACTGTCTATCACGCATTAATTGCTTTAATCTTAATATTTATCGATCAGCAAATATCTATTCCTGTAGATTGAAAAACAGCATCATCTTAAAAAAATCGTTGTATAAAAAGTAAATACTGAAAGCAAGGAAATCTTTAACATACAAAGAACATAACAACCTCGGCCTTAAATACCCATCATTTAATATACGTCAAACTCTTGAAAAATATATTTTTGAATAGCGATCATCTGTTCTCATATTTTCGAAAAGTTCATCTTGTACACTTTAATTTACATGGGTTAACGTATTATACCTTACACAGAGAATGCTAAACATTAAACATTTATTTGTAACTACGGTATGCATTTATTGAGACAAGTTTCTTCAGTCATTATACGCACTAAATTACGAATAGATGATCCGTAATTTTTAAATCTATATATTTTATTTTATCAACAATTTCATGAATTGTTTGGGTACCCGAAATTCAATTTTTGCCATTTAAAATTTTTCTATTGAGTAAGTACTCAATAGAAAAATTGAGTACTTACTCAATTTTTACTATTGTCAAGTCTTAAATAAGCAACTAATCATAGTGCTCAATAATTAATTAACAATAGTAGAACAAGAAGCATAATGTTCGTTACTTATTTTAGTCAAGTTATTCTTACTTTAGCTTAGTTATTCTTATTTTGACTCGTTTTATTTTCGCGTTATCTAATGACCTACTGTGAGTCCACGTTCTTCACTTTACTCAGAAATAAACTTCTACCTACTGTTAAAATAAGTTAAAAATCTTCGACACACATTTAATTCTGTAAACATAAATTTATTCAATTAAAGCTATTAATTAACTTCAAATAATAACTTTTTAGATTCTCTTTCGTACCAAAAGTATCGTTCTGCAAATGTACAGTAATTTTATGAAATAATTACTACAATAAATTCATTTATTCGAAAATTTTACAATGTTTTTTTTTCATTTAACTGTGCTGAAACTAATATTGTTTTAATTTTCATTAGTCGCAGATCAATGTAGAAAAATGTTATTAATTTTTGAGGACTTTTTAAACTTATATTGTTTTAAAGTTAACTGTCCAGAATTAATTAGATTGGTGAAATTGTTTATTGTGTTCCTTTAAAAAAATTTCGTCAGAAAATTGTTGTCCACAAAGTTGACATTCAAATTTATCTTCATCGTTTCCAATCTCTGAGAATAACTCCAGTTGTGAGGATGTTTCTAAGTTCATAATTTCTAAATCGATGTTAAAACCTTTAAGAAATTCTTCAGCTTCCCTTGCTGTGAAAATAATCTTTTCTGAAGCCACTTGCTCAGATTCAATTGATTCTGTTGCTTCAGAACTTTTTGATGGTGTCTGAAAAAAATCTGATTGCACTTCTTGGCCATGTTCTGTGTCTTTCTAAAAGTAAATATCATAAATATAATGATGGAGTTCAATTCAGTAAATGCAAATATATAAAATTTCATGTATATTGAAACAATTAAAATTTAATTTACATCACATTTAAACTTCTGTAATATTTAAGATTTTCATAATTTTTATAACATTTTTTTGTCAGAAAAACATTATTATGCAGAACAGAATGTCATCATTAAATAAACTAGCGTGAAGAAGCATATATTTAGAAGTAATTATTACGAGTAAATTTATTTAAATTGTTGTTTAAAAGTAGATTTTCTTCGAATACAAATACGAATATTGATGTAGACAATTAACTCGATAATAATGAAATTTTATTCTTTCAATGTTTATGAAAACTTAATTCATAGTCAAATCTTATCCGTATTTAACACGCAGATAATATTTGACTACTGATATTTATTTTTGTTATAAATTTGGCATTGGTTATGATACAGATTTTAGGAATAAACTTTTCTAAATTTTAAGAAGTTGTACATATTATTTAACATGTATATATATTTAGATATAGCTAGCGCTATCATTTATGCAAATTAGGCAATCTTCCAACACTCCAGCCATAAAGGGGCACAAAATTTCAACATATAGTTTATTCACACTTTACTAAAATATTAAATTAAATAGTGATATATGATTTATGTATCGATCATTTTTCCTTATTTTTCACGAATCAAGATATTTTACTATTTATTGAAATTTTGGTTTAAAAAAAATCAAGATTTCAATAAATACTAAAATACCTAAATGGTTTAAACTTATTAGCGGTTTAAAATTTATATAAAATAAATATCTTAAAATATTTTTAAAATATCTTAAGATTAATGATAATTTTTTAAAAAATTTTTCCTGGCATTTCCTTATTTTATTTTTCCTTGTTATTATTATTTGTGCTTAGTGAGGTTATTATATTTATTTATTCGTTTTTGATTTTGTAGTTTTACTTTACGTTTTTACTTATTATTACTTACATTACAGACAATTTAAAGGTTTTTTGTGAGTTTTAAACGTATGTATATATAATAAAAATAAATATTAATATTTTCAGTAATATCTTATTTGTTTTCACCGTAACATAAAGACTGGTAACAGGAATATTTCCCGTAATGCATTAAATTATATAATTAAAAAATAAGTAACGTACGTTTTTTATCGTAAAAATTGTTCCTGTATGATAAGTTCTCTGTAGCAATTTTGTTCTTAATTGCAAAGAACAAGTAACAAACAAAAGAACAATAGGAAATTAAGTGCTAAAGCTTAAAAATTTCACAAATTAAACAGAAATCGTTTTTGTAAAGAAACTTATGTAGAAAAAAATATATTTCGAAACAAATATTACAAATAATAACTAAATTTACGCCGATGGCTGCTGGTTATCGAATGACTAAAAGTAGACAACTAATTTACAATAATTACTTTTTGTTTTATATTACTACTTTACTTTAAATGAATAATGCAGTGTTATTTTATGAATGAAAGTTACAAAATTAAATTATTTACAAATATCACGTAATAATGTTACCTAAAAGAATCTGACAAGCAATTTAAAAAGTTTTTTTACAAGTAGCATAACTTTTTTTGCATTATAATATTCAAGTAATTTTTAAAAAGTGAATTTCAGAAAAATTTTATACGTACTTTGGAAAATGATGCGATTTTTTTCTTTGAATGTACTATTTTCACGTGTCTATTTAACTCAAATTTATATTTGAACGTTTTCTTACAAATATCACACGAAAACGGTCGGTTTTTTCCATGAGATGTTTGATGCGTTCTAAAAGTGGATAACCATCGAAAACTTTTACCACATTTATTACATTTATGATCTTCTTTCGAGTTTTTCTGGGGAATCTAAGTATTAAATGAATTATTAATTAGTAATTGCTATTTATTACATACTAAAAAAAATGAAATATTAATATATTTGGTAAATTCGTATTATTTTGTATTCATTATAAACTCTTATTTTTGAAAAAGTTATCTTGTAACTAAAATTTACGATTTTTACGATACAGATATAACAAGTACTATATATTTTTTAATGTTTTACTGTAAATTATCAATTTTATTTATAATAATTAAACCAGTTATATAGTCTATCATAATGTTATATTTTTTTAATCAAATTTATTAACTTATAATATATTATATTTCATAAAATATATATATACTTAAATGCAAAACTAAACATAAACATAATTCTTACAGTAATAATATCAGAAGCGATTGCATGTGGATGTAATCGTTTGACATGTAATAACAGATCAAATTTTCTTTTTGTAGCATATCCACAGTTGCATTTGAAAGGTCGTTCTTCCGAATGTATCCTTTTGTGAATTGTTAAATTTCCAGACTGAGAGAATTTTTTACCGCAGATATCGCATGGAAACGGTTTCTCACCAGTATGGCTTCTCAGGTGCACATCTAAGTGCGATTTCCTTGGAAATATTTGTTTACATTCCGTGCATTCATGTTTCTGTTCCTCATCCTTTAAAAAATATTCGTTATGGAAGTTATTGTAAATCATTAAGTTCTCTATTAATACTTTCAGAAATATTTTCTCTTTAATTCAAAACTTAATAGTAAAATATATGTATTTTTTCGATAAAAATTAAAATTTCGAAATTTTTTTCTTTACAATTTTGAATGACAAGTGTCGCCTATTAAAAATAACACGTAACAAAACAGATTGATCGTTTTACTTACCTTTTGTGATTTCATTAAAAAAAAGGTAATTTAAATTTTAAATTCACTTTATAAATTTTGAAAAGATGAAAAGCAAGAATGCACTACAACAATGTAAAATTTCGGAATTGTTTTGTCACTTTGACGTATTGTGCTTATTTGTTAGCTTAAAAAGACTAAAATTCCGACTGAAATTATTTCTTTTTATTAAAAAAAACGGTAAGCTACTTAAACGCCAATAAAGTAATAACTCGGTTTTAGTCGAAATCAACAAAAATCGTGACAAATTTTTTGATATGAATCAATCTAAATCCAATTAATTCATTCTAGATATACCAAAACACATTTTATAGACAATAAATATAGCAATTAAAACTAAAAACAATAGGAAATGAATATAGATGATGATTTTTTCAAATATGATAAGCTCTGAAACTGATTCCTAACTGATTTTGATTGATCTAAAAGAGGAGACAAAGATGACTAGTGTCTTACACGAAACCGTTTATTTTAACATCTAGTTTTACTTACATAATAAAAGAAGAACTATAACTAAGAACGTTGGACTTCGGATGAGGTGTGTTGCTGGTGGTGGTGGCTCCGAGGCTTCCTCGGCGAAGAGTCCACAGATTCGGAGGTAGGCTACCGGTGAACGGGCGATGGTTGACATTCTGATTACCACTCACATGTTTATCAGGCGGAGAAGCTTGGGCAGGTGTGACTGACTGGTGGATGGATGTCCTTATTCAGCACTTATTCGGAAAGGAATCGGCCATTCTGACCTTGAGATTTGGGGTTTTATAGGATTTTCTCCGAATATCACTCTTTTGATTGGTCCTGTTCACCCTCTTCCTTACCCCGATTGGTCATTCTTTTGTTTCTAGGCGAAACCCGAGACCGATTCGGGTCGAGAAAGATCGGGGAGGTGATAACGGAGCTTTTAAAGTCCGCGCTCGTATTTTACTCCACTATAGCCCTTCTTTCTGACATCTTTGAACCTAAATGCTCCACCAGATGTTCTTGTGGCCATTTAACCCCCTAACGCGTTCGTGCTTAATAAGGTTTTTGTTCGAGCGCGTTATGGGTTCGACAAGGCTTACAATGACGCTTCTGAGTAGTGAGGGATAGCTCTCTACATAAGTTACGAAGACCACCGCGGTAATATTCTTTGTATTTGAAATTTCGTGGACTTGGTTCAAGTAGTAGTTTGACTTCTTATCTATTTGGTCATCGTACCTTATCAGTTATTTATTTTTACACAGGATGATAGTAATAAACGAACAACTATTTATTGCTGACTAGGATAATTTTTAAATGTTTAAACCAGGGGTGTCCAACCTTTTTGTTTTTTCTGGGCCGCATTGGAAGAAGTCAAGGAGTTTTGGGCCACAAGTATATATTATATATACTTGTGGCACAATATACAAGTATATTTAAGGATTAACACGTCTAGATTATAATAATAAGTATTAAATCTTTATCACGAAAAAGGATATTTTAAAAAATTACTTCTACAGACACTTTCAATTTTTACTTAGAAATAGATAAATTCATTTATTATAAAAGAGACAAAGGAAAATTTATTTTAAAAATAAATATTTGTTTTATTTGGGTCTCTAATTAATAAAAAGCGACAAAACACCATTTTAAAGTGCATTTTTATTCAACTAATATATTTATAAATAATATGTAGCCTAAAAAGTAGCCATGCATGTATGCANTTTTTGTAGCATATCCACAGTTGCATTTGAAAGGTCGTTCTTCCGAATGTATTTTATACTTTAAGTTAATAAATTTGTTATATTTTATTTCATAAAATATATATGGACTTAAATGCAAAAATAAACATAAACATAATTCTTACAATAATAATATCTGAAGCGATTGCATGTGGATGTAATCGTTTGACATGTGATAACAGATTAAATTTCGTTTTTGCAGCGTATCCACAGTTGCATTTGAAAGGTCGTTCTTCCGAATGTATTCTTTTGTGAATTGTTAAATTTCCATACTGGGAAAATTTTCTACCGCAAATATCGCATCGGAACGGTTTCTCACCAGTATGACTTCTCATATGCACATCTAAGTGCCATTTACTTTGAAATATTTGTTTACATTCAATGCATTCATGTTTCTTTTTTTCTTCCTTTAAAAATTATTTGTTGTGTAAATTACTACAAATTATTAGGTTCCACATTAATATTTTTAGAAATGTTTTCTCTATATATTAAAACTTGATTGTAAAATATATGTATTTTTTCCATAAAAATTAAAATTACAAATTTGTTATTTTTTACAATTTCGAATCACAAATGCCTGTTATAAAATAAAAATAAAGTGTAACAAAACAGATTGGACGTTTTACTTACCTTTCCTGATTGCATTTAAAAAGTAAGTAATTTAAATTTTAAATTTTCTTTAGAAATTTTGAAAACATGAAAAAGCAAGAATGCACCACAATAATGTAAAATCTCGGAATTGTTTTGTCACATTGACGTATTGTGCTTATTTGTTAGCTTAAAAAGACAATTTTCGGCTGAAATTATTTTTTTTATTATCATATTAAATTATTAACTTATTATTATAAACGATAAGGTACTTAAAGGCCAATATTTGTAATAACTGGATTTTAATGGATAATCTGTCCGAAAGGAATAGGCGAAAACCGAAACAAAGTTTTTGATATGAATCAATGTAAATCTATTTTGTTCATTGTAGACATAGCAATAACATATTTTATATAGAATAAATATAGGATTTAATACTAAAAACATTAAGAAAATAATATAGATGATGGCCTTTTCAAATATGATGACTTCCGAAATAGATTCGTCATTTGACTGTTTTTGATTGATCCAAAAGAGGAGAAGACTTTACTTTCAGGTGACAGCTTGCTAGGATGATTGCCTTCCATCAAGTACTTCATAACACATTTACATGTAAACTTTGTATTATTTCACTTACATCTATTTTATGTTTATAAAGTAAGTGTGTTAGAGTAGATATAATGGGCTTTATAATAGTTCATATTTTTTATTCACACCAAAAGACATTTGTGCTTATTGTGAAGTGCTAGAGATATGACTATTATTCTTAGTATAACTTTTAGCTTGCTCAAAAATTTTGATCAAGTTTTGTTCTTGCTCTAGTGCAGTGTTTTTCGACCTGTTAGTCGCGACCCACAGAGGGTACGCGAAGCCTTATACGGGAGGGTAGCGGGTAAAAGAAAAGGACAAGTGTTTGTAGGTCCTACACTACATTAAAAAACTACAATTTCAGCGAGAAGCCTTTTCCGCTATGATTTTCTGGGGTGGACCGTGCTCACCCCAGAAAATCATTGCCGAAAAAGTGTTGAGCTGATTTGCAAAAAGAAATAAAAAGTAGAAGCTGAAAATCCTGATCCTAAGAAAAAAAGGTCAGCGTCTCCCTGTGCCCAATGTTATAATTAAAGGAAGTTTCATACTTTATCTGTGTTTAGTTATTGTCGATTCTTATGAAATTTTCATTTTAATCAACAATAATTTTTTGTTTTTGTTTTTTTTTAAACTTTTTCTGTCCTGTGGGCACTAAGAGGGCCTCTTTTTGCAAGCCCATTATGGGTTCGGCCAGGTCCACAATGGAGCCGCTGGGTGGTGAGGGACAGGGCCCGACATATCCGAGCGGACCAACCCCCGAAAATTTTTTAAGAATTTTTGACCCGTTCGGAATCGAACCCGGGTTCCCCAGAGGGTAGGCTGCAACCTTGACCGCTCGGCCATTTGGCCGCTAATCAACAGTAATTTGTCTCAATAGAAAGAAAATTAAATACATAGTTTTTAAAATCACTGATATAGTTTTAATATGGCCCTGGGGGTCGCCAGAATTTTTTTAACTTGTAAAGGGGTCGCGTATTCAAGAAGGTTGAAAAACACTGCTCTAGTGTGTAGAAGAAGTTTAATGTATGAGCAAATGTTTTAAATTTTCGTCTGTTTGTACAGGTTAGTTACTTAGTTACTGTCTAGTACGAAAATTATTGTTGTTATTTTAAATATGTAAGAGATTACAAAGCGATTTTAATTGTTATATAAGATTTTACATTGTTTTAGTTTTGCAATATTTAATCTTGTCTGTGCTAGTGTAATTTTATGGGCGAATAATTTAATTTGAGTTGTCAAACATTGTTGTAAAAATAAATATAGTATATAACAGCCTTTTGTATTTTAAATTAGTTTTTTCAAAGTGGTTGTTATGGGCACTGTAGTATTTTCAACCGCTGATAAACTAAAATGAGCACTGTAGTATTTTCAACCGCTGATAAACCGCTGGTGTCCGGGATAAACTAAAATTAAATTGGGGTGCGTGGAGATTGGCAGGGGGTCGGCGAAATGTTTAATAAAAAATGAAAATTGGTTGAGCCTAATGAAATGATATTTTAAAATTTAGTTTGTTTCTTTATATAATTATAGAAGGAATAAGGAGACTAATTCTAGCACGACTTACGCTACATGCACCTGACAATAATTCTATTATTTGAGCTTATAATACTTCAATATCACTACTGCTAAGAAATACTTGACATTAGCTGTAATACTAACACTAACTTTATTACTATTATTTCTTCGTTTGCAACACCGATTTATTTCCGAACGTTCTATTTTAAATCTTTTTTAAGTGCTTCACGAACATCTTGTACGTAACGTAATCTACGTTTTAGATAATTTTGTATTTACGTTTGTATTAAGGAGTCACTAGGGTCAAATTTGGATCAGTAGACATGACTATAAGAAGTCTGTTGTTTAAAATGACTTCACAACCACATATGACGGTTTACATAATCTAAGCAAACACTAGGCAAGAAAATTCAAGGTTCTTTCTTAAACCTTGATCCATGATATTCAGAAATTCTCTCTACAAAGGAGCAACTGAATTAATAATAAACTTTCAAATAATACTTTGTTTTTTACTTTGTCTAGAAACATGTTCAAAGTCAACTGATGAAAAAGAATGATAAATTACTACAAAACTTTTTCTATTGTCAATATATATTGTTGAAGGTTTTTTTGTCCAGTCAAAAAACATTGAAAAATCTGTGAAAATCTACCGTACACAATGATTTTATGAAATGCGTGGTATACAATGAATGTGAATGTGCACTGTCTATCACGCATTAATTGCTTTAATCTTAATATTTATCGATCAGCAAATATCTATTCCTGTAGATTGAAAAACAGCATCATCTTAAAAAAATCGTTGTATAAAAAGTAAATACTGAAAGCAAGGAAATCTTTAACATACAAACAACATAACAACCTCGGCCTTAAATACCCATCATTTAATATACGTCAAACTCTTGAAAAATATATTTTTGAATAGCGATCATCTGTTCTCATATTTTCGAAAAGTTCATCTTGTACACTTTAATTTACATGGGTTAACGTATTATACCTTACACAGAGAATGCTAAACATTAAACATTTATTTGTAACTACGGTATGCATTTATTGAGACAAGTTTCTTCAGTCATTATACGCACTAAATTACGAATAGATGATCCGTAATTTTTAAATCTATATATTTTATTTTATCAACAATTTCATGAATTGTTTGGGTACCCGAAATTCAATTTTTGCCATTTAAAATTTTTCTATTGAGTAAGTACTCAATAGAAAAATTGAGTACTTACTCAATTTTTACTATTGTCAAGTCTTAAATAAGCAACTAATCATAGTGCTCAATAATTAATTAACAATAGTAGAACAAGAAGCATAATGTTCGTTACTTATTTTAGTCAAGTTATTCTTACTTTAGCTTAGTTATTCTTATTTTGACTCGTTTTATTTTCGCGTTATCTAATGACCTACTGTGAGTCCACGTTCTTCACTTTACTCAGAAATAAACTTCTACCTACTGTTAAAATAAGTTAAAAATCTTCGACACACATTTAATTCTGTAAACATAAATTTATTCAATTAAAGCTATTAATTAACTTCAAATAATAACTTTTTAGATTCTCTTTCGTACCAAAAGTATCGTTCTGCAAATGTACAGTAATTTTATGAAATAATTACTACAATAAATTCATTTATTCGAAAATTTTACAATGTTTTTTTTTCATTTAACTGTGCTGAAACTAATATTGTTTTAATTTTCATTAGTCGCAGATCAATGTAGAAAAATGTTATTAATTTTTGAGGACTTTTTAAACTTATATTGTTTTAAAGTTAACTGTCCAGAATTAATTAGATTGGTGAAATTGTTTATTGTGTTCCTTTAAAAAAATTTCGTCAGAAAATTGTTGTCCACAAAGTTGACATTCAAATTTATCTTCATCGTTTCCAATCTCTGAGAATAACTCCAGTTGTGAGGATGTTTCTAAGTTCATAATTTCTAAATCGATGTTAAAACCTTTAAGAAATTCTTCAGCTTCCCTTGCTGTGAAAATAATCTTTTCTGAAGCCACTTGCTCAGATTCAATTGATTCTGTTGCTTCAGAACTTTTTGATGGTGTCTGAAAAAAATCTGATTGCACTTCTTGGCCATGTTCTGTGTCTTTCTAAAAGTAAATATCATAAATATAATGATGGAGTTCAATTCAGTAAATGCAAATATATAAAATTTCATGTATATTGAAACAATTAAAATTTAATTTACATCACATTTAAACTTCTGTAATATTTAAGATTTTCATAATTTTTATAACATTTTTTTGTCAGAAAAACATTATTATGCAGAACAGAATGTCATCATTAAATAAACTAGCGTGAAGAAGCATATATTTAGAAGTAATTATTACGAGTAAATTTATTTAAATTGTTGTTTAAAAGTAGATTTTCTTCGAATACAAATACGAATATTGATGTAGACAATTAACTCGATAATAATGAAATTTTATTCTTTCAATGTTTATGAAAACTTAATTCATAGTCAAATCTTATCCGTATTTAACACGCAGATAATATTTGACTACTGATATTTATTTTTGTTATAAATTTGGCATTGGTTATGATACAGATTTTAGGAATAAACTTTTCTAAATTTTAAGAAGTTGTACATATTATTTAACATGTATATATATTTAGATATAGCTAGCGCTATCATTTATGCAAATTAGGCAATCTTCCAACACTCCAGCCATAAAGGGGCACAAAATTTCAACATATACTTTATTCACACTTTACTAAAATATTAAATTAAATAGTGATATATGATTTATGTATCGATCATTTTTCCTTATTTTTCACGAATCAAGCTATTTTACCATTAATTGAAATTTTGGTTTAAAAAAAATCAAGATTTCAATAAATACTAAAATATCTAAATGGTTTAAACTTATTAGCGGTTTAAAATTTATATAAAATAAATATCTATAAATATNTTTATAAATAATATGTAGTCCAAGAGATAGCCAATGCATCAAATGATAATTTCTACGTCAAAGAAAAAAGTACAGTACCCACATTTGGCTCAATGTAGCCAAATCTTTCAACGTTGGAAGAAATACTAAATAAAGCTGAAGTTGTGACTCAAAGGATTATACACCCAAATGAGGGGAAAGGAGAGAAGATAAAGAAATGAGAAAGGTTGAAAAATTAAAGGTCAATATTTGCAAAACAGAAGATCTATTTAACCTCTCTCACTACTTTTTATCTTTTGTCCTTTTTCTCCTTTTCCTCCTTTCCCCAAATTTGGGTCTATACTCCTTTGAGTCACAACTCCAGCTTTATTTATTAATCCTTCCTCATTCACACATCTCCAAGTATTTGAAAATATTTCTTTTCCACTCAAAAATAAAATATGAATAAAGGTTTTCGACTTTGTGAAACTTCTTTTTTGAGTTTATGCGGTTGAAAAAAATAAATAATAAAAAAAATAAAAACGTGTCGTTTTAATTTTACACGTTTATTGGGCCGCATTGGAACTTTCCTTGAGCCGCGGGTTGGACATCCCTGGTTTAAACGTAACGATATGTTTGAATGTTGATACCTTAGGACATGAAAATAATATTTCAGTAAAGGAAAAAGTTAATACCAAACTCAGCAGTGCGGTACCTTAGCGCTGGAAGCTTTGTTAATTAACTTGCTTTACGTGATTTGTGACGACAATTAAAACGAGTGTAAAACGTGTGGTTTATCGAGAGTACGTTGCAAATTTGTCTACCTCGAAAAACTGTATCACACTGTATATGTTAAGCAGCATAAAGGTCAAATTATGTTCGGCCTGTGAACACAAGATGCGGTGTCCGAGCAATTTTGTGTTAGCCTATTGCTGTGGATACTGGATAAAATCCGGGCAGTAGAAAAATCCTAGTAATTTTTGAGATGTTCCATCTGAGAAATGCTGAGCCCATCATTTTTCCGGCCACTTCATTGTAGGCCTGGGCGAATTCATAAATGACTTGATATAAGGAATTATTTATTACCCATCGGGCAAAAATTGTAAGGAAAAAATCAGTAGCCAGTGATATAAAGTGTCTACATAGCTTTATTGGCTTCTATTAATAAACTTTGTTTTACACTTTCAGATAATAAACATTAAATTATTAATGATTAACAGATATATGAAGTAGCATTACTTATTCTAAAATATTTTAAAATATAATATCTGCTTTAGACACATTTCGAGTGGCCATAAGTAAAGGTTAATTTTTTGCTAATGCCGTAAGCAATGAACTCTTTATTTATGAAATATATTGTTTCTTTACGGAATTGCGACACGTGAATGATCTGCCGAGGGAGATAACTTTAGCAAAAACTTTCGTATAAAAAGTTAACGTCTAATTAGATGTTACAGACGTGAAGAAAACTCTTTAAGCTCCACTTGACCAGTCCGTTAAAATAGCCTGAACCAGTGTTAATTGATTTTATCCACTCTGTCATTGTTATTTCACTTTTTTATTTTAAGAAGTTACTAATACTATATAAGAGAAGATGTTCTTTTACAGTATCAAAATTTCTTATACAGTCGACCCCCCTATAAGATCATAGATACGTTTTATTCTTTAGTAATCCGTTTCTTACGAGTCCTTCCAATCACAGCCCGACACGTGTCAAGTTTACGGACTACGGCTGTTTGAAAGGTTTTCTTGCATACTATACAGATGATAGCAAACTCTCCGTAGCGTGGCACTTGACGGCGGAAAATAGTTCGGCTGCCCGATGACGTTTCACGTAATTATAGAAGATTTTTTACCTTTTTTTACAGATACCGTCCCAATTTTTTGCAGTTTTATAGGAATCGTAATTATAGGGACCGTAATTATAGGGGGTCTACCTGTATATAAGCATAAATTTTATTATTTTATATTAATAGTGTTCGAATTATCGAATAAAGATAATAAAATTACTGTAGTTCGATTTTTGAGTGCAGATCTATTCCGAGATGTTTCATTCAAACTAATTGATTTGTCTCACAACACGATTCCATGAAGCCATTTTGTTCTTTCAAAATTGCCATGACCCTAAACTGTTTCTTGTCGATTTTACACATAAACAATAAATTGTTTATATTTCTAGTTATTTTTTATCGAAAAAAGTTTATCTTTCTGTTATTATCTTTTCGATTGATCTGGTCAACATTTTTACATTAAAAAAATATGTATTCAAATTAGAATTCTTCAATTTAAAAGTTGAGACTATTTACAAAAATATTTATCTTTCGAGCCTATCCATTAATCCTTTCACACAACAACAGAAGTACCCGTTACATTGGTTTGAAGAAATAACTTCATGAAAAAAACAAATAACAATAGGTCAAACTTCTCATTATTAAAAGCACTATTGTTATTTGTAAATATTTGGGAGTATTTAAAGCAGATCTGCCACACAGATCAATGATATAACACTATAAAGGATTCAAAAAAGTGCAAGCCACTGTTTGTACCTAAGATAAAACAATCAGATAATTTGAGTTTTGAATAGAATTTAAAATAAATAAACAATAGACAAGCTCTTGATTATAGGGTAATAATAAATTTCAGTCAATTAAGATATTTTAAGTTTGAAATAGAACACGCAAATACCATATTTGTAAAGCATTCTCTTACCGAAGAATGAAAATTGTTAAATACTGTATAACAAAAAAGAAATTAAGACATAAAATTTCGAAAAATTTGTATATCTGAAAGCAAAATATAAAACACAAGCCGGTATTAATACAAACAGGTTGAGAACCTTAAGCTCCTTCTTCCCTTTATTCTTCCCACCTATCATCAGTTTTACACTGATCTAGGCGTTTCGCCGTTAGATGATTCCGATACAAATGCTGTCTTCTGATCCTGAGATCGAGAATTTGGATGAAGAAACGAATCAACCACAAACTGCTTAAATTTTGATTTCGCTTATGCTTTATTGAAGCAAAATTATTTCTACAACAGTTGCATTAATTTCTAAATTTATTTAGTGCAATAACATCAAAAAGGTTGTGAAAGCTGTTAAACTACGTTATACACCATTTGATAAATAATTCATAAATTAATACTTAGTGTGATCATGTGTTGTCTTGTATCAACTAGTTGAGCATGAACGTTTACACTATATCGCCCCGTAGTAAAATGTGACTTAATTCTCGTGTAATAGAAATTGTATACGTTTGTGAATGACGTTATGCGGAAAACAATGCCTTCCGGGAGGTCTTCTAAGCGTAACTGGCCCCTATTCAGGAATTACAAACATGGAGAAAACCCGGAAAACTCCACGCGGCCAGTTAGTCCGAGCGAGGACGAATCCACGAACGGACTCGTAAAGCGGTTCCGTTTTCTAAAGAGAACGGAATTGCTTTGCCACTGGTGGCAAAGCAATTCCATTCTCTTAAGAAAACGGAATTGCTTTGCCACTGGTGGGTGCTTAAGTGTGATATGTATTATTTGTGTGCTTTGTTGTGCATGTTCTTTCTTTTTCTAACACGCCGCCGACTTCGATGCAAGAAGACAACGCCGAATGAATGGCACTTAATACCTGTAAATAACGATATTTGTAATATCCAATGATATGTATTTATATATACTTAAAGCATAGATCAGAACATACCCTAATCATGAAATCTCGTCTAATATAGAAGAATCCACCAATGGATAATCCGAGTGGGATTTTCCCAAATCTCTTCATGAAATCGTTTATCTTTAAAAAAATAATTCATAGAGTTAGTAAATATTAATAATTTGAAATTCAAACAAATTTGAAAATGTTAGTTGTATACAATAAAACTTCCTTGATGATCTATTATTTTTGTATAAACCTTTTTTACCAAAATATATCGGAGTTTCACTCTTTTTAGTAAATGTAATTCTGTATCCTCCCGTAAAGTAAGTCAGAATTTATACATTAAATAAAAAATTTAATAATTTACTTTGAATGAACAAATGAAAGTCTCTAAGACTACTTTATTATATAGCATAAAATTCTCTGCCCGAATATGAGTTGGCGGTGTTCTCGTCGAATTTCTATAGTACATATTTTCGTTACGAAATATACATTTGTTTCTCTTGTCTTTCGTGTCTCCAATTATTGAGTGTGCTTTTTACTATTTGCTTGCTCTTGTAGGAGACTTGTACCGTAGCCACGGACATGATAACACTTATTTTGGCAATCATTTGCCTATAAATTGTGCAGCCTGGCATTAATTTAAATGGTTTTTTACTATTAGTTAATTAAGGTTAAAACTTGACATAAAACAGTAACTATCTTCATCACTACAGAAGATTCTAAACCAAAGCCAAAAAATCATTTAAAACAGAAATTTTGCCTGTATTATTTAGCTGAAACTTGAAGAAAATTTTTTGTGTTATTGTATAAGAATATTTAAAATATGTTGTTTAAAATAAATAATAAAATAAATTTGAAACGGGTATATATATAATTTACAGTTTTAAATATTTTAAAGGTAGACTGTTCATTGAAAGAATACGTGCCATCGTTACTCGGCCTACAAGACATAAAATCATTTGACCATGATCGATAAAATTTTTTTCAAATTATCAAGTTACGATGTTTAAAAGTGTTTAAAAATCTCTTAGAAATTCAACGATTTCGCGTTGAAAACAGTTAATGAAAAATTAATCGGTGAGATTTCCCACTTATCAATAATGATTAACTTATTTACATACCTTGAATTTAAATGTCAATGGAAGGTTTGCAGATGAAATCTTTTCTATACTTATGAAGTTATCGTACAACTGTAAAAGAAAAATATAGCTTTTATCTTTGAATTTAAAACTTAAAATATAATTCTGTATTATTAACGCTTTATATAACTGACTGAAACATAGCTGTATATGAAATATTTCAATGTTTGCACAATGTTTTCTGGATGCGTAACTTTGTATTTCAATGAGTGCATCTATGTATACACTGCAGTTTATGTTAAACTGCAAACATTAAATAAATTTATAAATGCCAGTAATCTATTTAACTTTGTTAAAAAAAAAAATTTAAATTGAAGTAACGTGACTTCCATTCCAAAGCTGAAGTTTCTACATAGTTAATCTGAGTTTCCAGCACCTAAGCTTTCTACATTTCTTCTTGACATTCATGTTTGCATTTCCATTCTGGAGAATGAAAAATATTAGACCGACAAGCAAATAGACTGACAACAGTCGGAAAATTATAAGTCTACTATTTTTTCAAATTATAGTCTAATAATTTTTATATAAATTTTATATATACGAGAACATACTTTCAACATGTAATTTATACAATCTGTTGCAAAAATATAAACACTATTATAACACTAGCAGATGGATTGCAGTTCAAGAAAGTGTTCTGTTAAGATGTGTTGCTGTTTTTTTTTATTCCGGTGCCTGGGTTAGGTAAAGATTTAATATATTACATTAGGAATAGTAATATAGTAAAAATAGTATATAAATAAAATTAAAGTCAATCCAGTACATTAATACCTAAATAGTTAGCATGGATAAGTCTCAAGATATCATCATGGCGCTAGAAGAAGGAATAAAAGAAAAACTATTCACCGTCAAAGAGTGTATAGTGGCCACCCGCAACATGTGGACAGAACTCGAGATATCTCGAGAAAGCTACATAGCGTTACATAAAACGCGGTCCTTAAGGGGGTTTTGAATTTTTTTTTTTTTGNAATGCATTAAATTATATAATTAAAAAATAAGTAACGTACGTTTTTTATCGTAAAAATTGTTCCTGTATGATAAGTTCTCTGTAGCAATTTTGTTCTTAATTGCAAAGAACAAGTAACAAACAAAAGAACAATAAGAAATTAAGTGCTAAAGCTTAAAAATTTCACAAATTAAACAGAAATTGTTTTTGTAAAAAAACTTATGTAGAAAAAATATATTTCGAAACAATTATTACGATTAAACTTATTACAAATAATAACTAAATTTACGCCGATGGCTGCTGGTTATCGAATGACTGAAATTAGACTACTAATTTACAATAATTACTTTTTGTTTTCTATTACTACTTTACTTTAAATGAACAATGCAGTGTTATTTTATGAATGAAAGTTACAAAATAAAATTATTTACAAATATCACGTAATAATGTTACCTAAAAGAATCTGACAAGCAATTTAAAAAGTTTTTTTACAAGTAGCATAACTTTTTTTGCATTATAATATTCAAGTAATTTTTAAAAAGTGAATTTCAGAAAAATTTTATACGTACTTTGGAAAATGATGCGATTTTTTTCTTTGAATGTACTATTTTCACGTGTCTATTTAACTCAAATTTATATTTGAATGTTTTCTTACAAATATCACACGAAAACGGTCGGTTTTTTCCATGAGATGTTTGATGCGTTCTAAAAGTGGATAACCATCGAAAACTTTTACCACATTTATTACATTTATGATCTTCTTTCGAGTTTTTCTGGGGAATCTAAGTATTAAATGAATTATTAATTAGTAATTGCTATTTATTACATACTAAAAAAATTGAAATATTAATATTTTAGAATTGCAGTTAAATTTTAATATATTTGGTAAATTCGTATTATTTTGTATTCATTATAAACTCTTATTGTTGAAGAAGTTATCTCGTAACTAATATTTACGATTTTTACGATACAGATATAACAAATATATTTTTTAATGTTTCACTGTAAATTATCAATTTGATTTATAATAATTAAACCAGTTATATAGTCCATCATAATGTTATATTTTTTATCAAATTTATTAACTTATAATATATTATATTTCATAAAATATATATGGACTTAATGCAAAAATAAACATAAACATAATTCTTACAGTAATAATATCAGAAGCGATTGAATGTCGATGTAATCGTTTGACATGTGATAACAGATCAAATTTTCTTTTTTGTAGCATATCCACAGTTGCATTTGAAAGGTCGTTCTTCCGAATGTATTTTTTTGTGAATTGTTAAATTTCCAGACTGGGAGAATTTTTTACCGCAAATATCGCATGGAAACGGTTTCTCACCGGTATGGCTTCTCAGGTGCACATCTAAGTGCGATTTCCTTGGAAATATTTGTTTACATTCCGTGCATTCATGTTTCTGTTTCTCATCCTTTAAAAAATATTCGTGATGGAAGTTATTGTAAATCATTAAGTTCTCTGTTAATACTTTCAGAAATATTTTCTCTTTAATCCAAAACATAATATCAATAGTAAAATATATGTATTTTTTCGATAATAATTAAAATTTCGAAATTTTTATCTTTACAATTTTGAATGATAAGTGTCGCCTATTAAAAATAACACGTAACAAAACAGATTGATCGTTTTACTTACCTTTTGTGATTGCATTTAAAAAAGTAATTTAAATTTTAAATTCACTTTATAAATTTTGAAAAGATGAAAAAGCAAGAATGCACTACAACAATGTAAAATTTCGGAATTGTTTTATCACATTGACGTATTGTGCTTATTTGTTAGCTTAAAAAGACTAAAATTCCGACTGAAATTATTTCTTTTTATTAAAAAACCGGTAAGCTACTTAAACGCCAATAAAGTAATAACTCGGTTTTAGTCGAAATCAACAAAAACCGTGACAAATTTTTTCATATGAATCAATCTAAATCCAATTAATTCATTCTAGATATACCAAAACACATTTTATAGACAATAAATATAGCACTAATTCAAATTTGCTTAGGTTTACCATAAAACTATAACGCGTTACTGGTGCAGGCCCAGTACGATCTACTCATTTTAAACTGTTGTTTTAAACATACTTTACTTAACAAATGCTTTCTTTATTTTAAAATATTCATATTATATTCATTGAAATTTTATTTATTTTGATTCATATCACTTGTAATTCTTTCTGAAATATTTTTGAAACACATCGAACTTAAAAATAGTTATAATTTATGTTCAGTTCTTACATTAATTAGCTTTTCTTCTTTTGATTCAACGTCATTAATGGGTTTTATGTCGTTACAAGTAGGTTTTTTAACATCATCTAGTATAGTAAAATCATGGGACCGATAAAAATTTGACGTTATAATCGGGTTAAACTGTATATTGTTTGTGCAAAATAAAAAAAAAATAATTTCGGACGATACTTTTAGCCACGATTATTTTTTCAAAGACGGGAAATTTTCGTTAGGCATCGACAAAAATTCAACCCGGGCCGACGCGCAACGGAGAAAAATTTCGAAATTGAATAGGTTAATTTCATCGAAAATGCATCGAGGACGACCTCGTGGTCGTGGCCGGCGAAGTTTGAACGATCGCGCCCAAAAGCAGCAATACAGTACCAAAGAAGATTGGAGAATGAGAACGAGATCCGCTTTGAGCGTCAAAGTGATTCCGCTTAGTAGTGTCTCCGAGACATAGTCGTGTCCCAAATACGGTTTTGCCATTTTACTTGTTTAATTTAACCTTTTTGGTTAATATTTAAATAATATAATGTTTTACCAGTATTATACAGTTGTCCAACAGAAAAGTAAACTATCTTATTTACAAATCTTTTCAAAATAGACAGTTTGACCGGGCCCTTCTAAAAACCGGGCCCTAGACATTTGTCTCATTTGTCTATGCGATGATCCGGCCCTG